TTCTATAGATTAATTAACACACAAAATATAGTATAAACACTAAACAAAATAATTAAAATTTGTATTCTTTTAATAGTGAAATGTTATATGCGTAACTAAATTGCCTGGACGACTGAACGTCCAACTATAAGTTGCTAGTAGAAGTTAAATCTATTTAGAATCAAATAAACATATTTTGAAATCATTTAGTCGAAGTCTTGTTGAATATAAACATGAAAACTAATACCAAAACGATTTTAAGATCTTTGCCACATACTACAATCCTGTGTTTTTATGTGTTTTACCCTTTGACATTGTCATTAGTAAGAATTTTGGATCTTAAAAAAAGAATTTTGGATCTTTGAAGCCAAGATCTTGTTGATTACAAAATACAAAATATAAATTTGTAAACAATAATATATAAAAAATTGTGTTATTTTTATGAAGCCTTAAATTTTAATATTGTATTACATAACTCAACCAATCAGTATGAGTTTTGCAATAATCACATTTTTTTGTGATCGGAGTCAAATCCGCCTATATGATCTCGATTTTTGCAGTAAGACTGGTTTTCAGATTAGTAATAGGGCTTAGTATAAAAAAAACTTTTGATCAAAATAGATAACGTGCGCTATATTTTTTGTTTTTACAATTATCGCATCGTACTGATTTCTGTGTTCGAACTGATTTTAGATTTCAATTGAGTATAAGGAAGTGCTGATAATCTCGAGAAAAATAAAAAATGAAAATTAGATGTATATATTACCATGCTATATTATTATTTTTCTTTAGTTAGTGCCTTACTTCATTTTTTTTAGCTGTGTATTATTTGTTTCCTATTTTGTATTTTTATTTCACTAATCGTAGGCTTTATTTGGTTCTTCTGTAGTGTTTAGCCCTTATTTGTAGTAACATTGTTAGTAATGCAAGAAAATTAGATTAGATATGACGTCAGAAAGTGCGTATAAAAATATAACGCATTGGGCGCAAGAGTAAAGAAATTTTAGATAAATGTTATGAATTGAAAAGTACACGATAGATTAAAAGTATAGCATCTAAAAAATTGAAAGTAAACATAGGTGTAAATGAGATGCGCCCCAAAGATAAAGATGAAAATATTGTGACCAATTAATATCTGGATTCGTATGTTATAAAAAAATATAAAAGAATTTATACTTGCTTTAATGAAGTTTTGCCAAGTTCATCTTGTTATATAAGTTCTTGGTCATTAAATAAACATATAATAAAATAAGAATTAGATAAAGCACGATTTAGTATTTATTCTTTAATATAATTTTTAAGCATTTTAGTTTGGTACAAAATCAAATAATTTCGTTATCATACTATTTCGTAATTAGTACATCATTGATTCTTACTTCACGGTTTTGTACCTTTTATATATCGTAAATTAAAAAATCTAAAGAGAAGAAATATAATTAAAACAGATTAAAATGAAAGAAAACTCAATGTTTGAAAGTCAAATGATAGAAAGCTCGATGGTTGAAAGCCCGATGGTTGAAAGCCCAATGGTTGAAAACGCAATGGTTGAAAGCCCAGTGGTTGAAAGCTTAATAGTTGAAAGTTCAACAGTTGAAAACTTAATTATTGAAGAAAATCGAATGGATGAAAGTCAAACTGAAGAAAACCGTCCAATAGAAGAAAATCAAGCAGAAGAAAGTTCGGTTTTATGAGATACTCTTAGAAAATGCAAAAGCAGAAAGAATGAAACATTTCAGCAGCGTGAGACACGTCTTGCACGTGATCGAGAAAAAAAATAGCAAAAAAGAGCAACAAAGGCATTAAGTAAACTTAAATCAGACCTTACAGAACTTGAAGCAAGCTTTACAGATGATAGTAACCAATATTTTTAGAATAAATCGGATACGCAAACTGATAATATGCAAGATGAATTTGATATGGCCCAAAGTAGTGATAATATTACGCAAGTCAATTCACCTTCTGCAATCCTTAGCGAATTTGATAAAATTCTTTTGCGACGATTACGTAGCAAAGTGGAGAAGCTAAAACACACACTTTGTTCCACATATAAGGAATACTTTCCAATATTAACCCTTGTGGTGGGAAAATGTCGCCATTGTTATACTGAAAAAAAGTTGCCGAAGAAATTTTCATCCGATAACAATATGGATCCAGGAGATGTATCTGAAGAACTCCAAGGACTTACAGAAATTGAAGAGATGTTAATTGCACAAGTATTCTCTGTGATGGTAGTTTACAGACTTCACGGAGGACAGCATGATACAGAAGAAATGTCATTAACTTCCCTCAAAATGTAGAAGAATTTACGACCCGTCTTCCTCAGCATCCATCCTCATTGAATATACTTATTGTACATCAACAATCCGAAAGAGATACAACTACATTTAGAGATTTTAGAGTTCGTCGAGGCAAAATTATTCGTGCATTGAGTTGGTTAAAAGAAAATAATCGATATTATTCTGAAATTGTTATAGACAATAAAAATCTTAATTGTTTACCAGAGGACGGTTTTATTGATAATCAATTTCAAATTAATCAATTGAAAGATGATGATTTCTATGAGAAGAATGACGGTGATGTAATCACATGTACCTTTGTGCCTTTTCTTCTCTCAGATGATCGAGAGGATGTAGCTATAAGTAATACACTTAATCGCATGATAGCTAATAATGATACAATAGAGTGGCCACGAATTGATAGTAATCCTATTAATGAATTTCAAACACCAGGATATATGGCACGTGCATTTCTAACTCTTTACCCAACTGGATGTGCTGACCTTCGTAAAGAACGTATTAAAGACGTCAAGCCAGCTGAATATTTTAAGTATTTATTGCTATATAAGGATGGAAGGTTTGCTCACCATACTCGTTGGCGGTACTTTGTACTTAATTCACAAATGAGATGACGAGCACTACAAGAAGGAAGAGTATATGTAAAACAGAATTTTAATGACAGTCAGCTTACAGTTACTGAGATTCAGAAAACAATTGCTGAGGGTAATACACATATGGCTAACCAAATTATGAGATTTGGTCTGGGCATACGTGAATCAAGACAGTTCTGAAATACAAGGTGTGACGAGTTATCAGACATGATCAAGCAGTTAGGTTCAAAGGGATTAATCTTTTTTACATTTAGTGCTGCCAATCTACATTAGCCAGAGCTTCATAAACTTATGCCATCTAGTGAAAATTATCATCAAAATATTGTCGATAATCTGCATCTTGCTACTTGGTTTTTTAATAAACGTTTCAAACTTTTCTTCAACGAAGTGTTAATAAAGAAGTGGAAGTTGGACAACTGGTGGTATAGGTTCGAATGGCAACATTGTGATAGTGTCCATGTACATAGAATTGGAAAGATTAGAAATGCTCCGAAAATTGAATGGGAAACACTGAAGGGAGATGAAAACTTACTAAAAAAGGTAGTAGAATATATCAATTCACTAGTTACTACGATTAATCCTGGACTCAATTCTCCTATCTCTGATCGTCATCCATGTCAAAAACGTCAGAAAGAACTAAATGATGATCTACAAGATTATATTGAGTTAGTTAACAAGTTACAAAGACATACACGATGCAGCCCTTTGTATTGTCTTCGTATCAACCGTGTAGGACAACAATCCTGCAGATTTGGATATCCTAAAGAAGAGAGCAATTATACTTTATTGCGTGATGATAGCCATGATTATCCAGATCTTATAACAGCAAGAAATGATCCATATATTAATCCACATAGTAGAATTCAACTACAAGAGTGGAGAGCAAACGTTGATCTAAAACTGGTCCTTAGTACACATGCGGCCCTACACTATATTTGCAAATATACAAGCAAAGCAGAACCATGATCAGTAGCTTTTTCTGAAATTTTAAATAGAATACTTAATAATAGTGAGCCTAACGATCGACTACTTGTTCCAGTCCAAAAATTATTACTTCATAGTGTCGCAGAACGTGATATATCTGCACAAGAAACTTGTTATCTTCTTCTTGGAATTCCTCTTTATTGTTCAAGTCGCACATTTGTTTCATTAAATCTTAATAACAATGCATCACGTTGGCTTTGTAGTACAGGTACAAGAGAAGATGAAAATTCTACTCAAGTTGAAAATATTAAATTGACAACGAGATCTACTTTGAAAGTATACTGGGATCAACCTTCTAAATTTGAGAACCTTTCATTATATCAGTTATACCTTACACATAAATTTTATAATAATCAATGAAGAGAATGCGAACAAGAAAATATTATACATATTTGGCCACGACCCCTCACCAGTTCGTGAAGGTCCGAATTGGGAGGAGTTCTGCCATGTAAAAGTTCTTCTTCATGTTCATCATCAAGATATTCAACAGCTGACTCAAAATAGCACGATTTTATAGTCGGCCTTATATAATAACAATTTGGAAGAAATCAATGCTGACCCGATGGATTTACTTGGCGCTCTTGTAGATAATGATGAAAGAGAAGTAACAGATAAAAGCCAAAAGGAACTTGAGGATAGTGAACAGGAGGAATTTCGATTTGATTGGATGCTTTTAGCTGAAATGGGCCCTAATTCAACGTTTGGTTGTTCTTCTGATCTTGGATCTCGTGATATTGGTCGAAATCATGATTGGATTAATGATGCTTGACAATACTATTCCAATATCGATCTCGAAGAAGTAAACACTTTTGTATCTAATCATAGGAATTTAAGCAATGAAATTTAAGATAATGAAACTTCTGATAATAATATAGATTACCAAACTTTAAATGACAACCAAAAAATAATATTTAAGCGAATAGAATCACATTACCAAATGGTGACTACAGGTAGTCAAGTTGAACCGCTTAGAATTATCGTGATGGGAACGGCTGGCACCGGAAAATCATACCTTATCAAGGCAATTAAACGTCAGCTTCATGAAATGGCAGGAATAGAATTTAATTCGCCTGTATTAGTTCTTGCTCCAACGGGTGTTGCAGCTTTTAATATTAATGGAGTAACAATTCACTCAGCACTTTCTATCCCAATACCTATTGGTACTCATCTTGACATAACGGGTGAATGACTTAAACAGTTGCAAAATAGGTTACAAGATATAAATTATTTGATAATTGATGAAAAAAGCATGGTAGGATATTGAATGCTTGCTTTAATTGATATGCGGTTATGCCAAGCTTTTTCTGAATATAAGAATAAACCTTTTGGTGAAAGATCAATTATATTATTTGGTGATTTTGGTCAACTTCCTCCTGGCTTGATCATCCTATGTATACTACAAACATTGTACGAGATTCGTTGTCTAATAATGGTATTGTTGCATATAAACATTTTCATGAAGTATATAAACTCAATATCGTGCAATGTTAATCTGAAGATTCTGAAGAACAACAAGAATTTAGAGATATTCTCTTACGGCTGTGCAATGGAGAATCTACAATTGCTGATTGGAGAACGCTTAGTACACATTTTGAAAATAAGATAATTAGAACAGAGCGTAATCGATTCTCTGATGTTATGTTCATCCTAACAAAGTGAACTGATGTTAATTTAATAAATACAGACAAATTGAAATCCTTAAACATTCCTGTTGCAAAAATTCTTGCAATGCATCATAGGGGTGGTAAAAAAGCCAAAAATGCTGATTCAGACGCAGCAAGTGGTCTTGAAGCAGAATTGTTACTGGCCAGAGATGCTCACATTATGCTAACAGCAAACCTGTGGACAGAAGTTGGGTTAGTTAATGGTTTGATGGGAACTATTCAAGATATTTTATTTGAAGAAGGCCAAAGTCTACCATCACTTCCCACAGCAGTTTTTATCATATTTGATGACTACAGAGGACCTACTATTAGCACATTAGAGGGGACAAAAGTCGTCCCAATCATACCAATTCAACGTATATGGGAAGGTAAATTTGAAGCAATATGTTCACGTTTGCAAATCTCTATCCGTCTTGCGTAGGCTATTACAGTACATAAAAGCCAAGGCCTTACAATATCAAAAGCTGTAATAGATATCGGCAACAGAGAATTTGCTGCTAGGCTTTCTTTTGTAGCAGTATCCTGGGTTCGTGCACTTAATGATATTATCTTTAAGCCATTTAATTTTGAAAGGCTACAACAAATTGCGAATTGTAAAAGAGCTCAAGAAAAAAAAACCGAGAAAATGCGGCTAACCTCCTTAATACCTAAAATTTAAACAGTTACAGTAAATAAAATAGTAATTGTAATAAAAAAAAAAACAATAACTACAGTCAACTCTTTCTATAATGAACTAAAAACTCTTGAAAAAAAAAGTTTGTGATAAAAAATTACATTGTTTTCTTAAGAACCTATGCCACTTCTTTTACTGAACTATTACAAAATCTCAAAATTTTGAGTTCATTATAAGAAGGTTAGAGTCGACTGTATACTGGGTGTTTGATAAGTCTCTGGACAGGAACTTTTTATTAATCACTTTAAATATCAAAACTATTATGTTATTAGTAAAAAGGTCATATCTTGAACTTTAAATAAATAACAAAAAGGTCTTGTCCAGAGACTTATCAAACACCCGGTATAGTAATAAATAGGCTATTAGGTTAATGATTTATTAACTGCTTCGTAAAGATTAATTGGTCTTTCTTTTTTGTAATAATAAAATAGATTAAGTAAATTTGTTTGTTGAAATTAAAGATCTGATAATATTGTATTGTAATAATA